GTTACTGAATTTGACTTTTTTTCATTTGTAAAATGGAGACAGTAGCATCTATCATAGGTTATTGTGAGGATTAGTGAGAAGACATATATGAAGAACAGTTGCCTGGTACCTAGTCGCACTCCACAAATAGTGCTAGTAGATAGTCTAACAGCTTCTTTTGGGGAGGGGGTTCTGGAGATCAAGCTCTATCTAGCACTTGCTATGTTTTTGAGACAGAGTCTTGCTCTATAGTGCAGACTAGCCTCAAACTCATAATGCTCCCACCTCACCTCTTGAGTGCTGGGGTTATAGGCATGCATCACCTCTCAGCTCTGATAGTATTTATCAGAGCTGTGTGCTTTCTTTGAGCACTGCTGATTCTGAAGTACATCTAAAGAAATAAGAAGTCAAATTTTAAAGAGGTTGAAGTACTGGTCACAACAGTTCCAAATTAGAAATAATCTACATGTGTCCAAAGAGAAGTTGATGAAATAAATGATGGCACATTCATGAAGTGGGAAATTTTGAAGAAAAGATAGTGTAAGAATTCTGAATGTAGTCTTTGACTGTGAAGCGTCTCCCATCTCTCAGAATATCACGAGCTCTTTCCAGATCTTTCTTCCTTGCTTTCACTTGTGTGAGCCAGCTACTGCTCTGTAACAATCTTTAAATCTCAGCGATATACAACAGCAAGCATTATTTCTCATTGGAAAGTTTGCAGGCAACCAGGCTAGTCTCCATACCATGGCTGACCAGTCAGAGAACGTACTAGCCATGACAATCACAGAAGCAACTGGGTGTGAGGGCGAATATGTTTTTAGTTCCAAGTTCAAATTTAATGTGATGTTATTTCTACCCACATTCCCTTGGCCAATGACAACCCAAGCCAGGGAGGCACCTTTAGCATCTCATGATACTATGGGAGTAGGTAGAGTCCAGGCGGCTAGGGCCAGTAATTGAGTCTGCAGTGCTTGTTCTGTTCCTCATTCTCTGCCGGTGAGACTACTCTCCAAGCCCTTTTGCATTCACCAAATTCACCCCACTCTCTGTCTAGCTGCCTTTCTTAACAGAATACCTACAACTTCATTGTTATCTTCAGAACTCTGCCTAAGGATCCAACTTTTATAGTGGCACAGAACTTCTCACCTGAACGCTGAAATGCCTTTCTTAGGACTATTTCCATCTGTTGGTCTAAGTTTATTCTCTCTGCTATAGCATTTATATTAAACATTTAATGTCCTTGGATTTAGCCTAAACACTATAAAGTCACAAGATCTTTCAGGAAGGTGGCTTATTTATTTCACTCTTCTCTAAAATGGG